TAAAATCTAGTTTGTGTTTCCACTCTTAGAACAACAAGATTGAGATATGGAACCTTCTTTTCCACCATTTTATTCATGTTTTTTACCAATTTTAATTTAGTCCCTCTTTGTTTCCTAGAGTGGATGATAGAAAAATTGTCTTAGGTTTGCTTTAATTTGCATAATACTCTAATTTCTTTGAAAAAAAAATTAGGTAAAAAGCTTAGCCTCAAGATATCTCCTGTTCATATAAAAAAAAGGAAGTAAACTTGTGTATATTTTTCAATTTATACTACTGTTTGTTGAATTTGGTATACTATATTGTGGATTTTAATATTTGTTGTATGAAATATTAGTATATATACTCTATTTTTATTCTGTAAAATTAGATTATTGGTAAATTCATAGATATTTGATTGGTGGGGTTGTCTTTGATTTCAGGTTAATAACTATTATTGTTCAAACAAGTTTGTTCATTCTATAACTTCTAATATAATTAGTTTCTAATATAATAAATTATTAATCCAACAAAAAATTTTATAATTTTATCCTACATTTATTAAAATTAGCCATAAATAAAATTACCTAGTTTGCAACATAAATTATTGATGTGTATTTATATGTTTTAAAATATTGAGTAGGCTTTTATAGATGAGAGGTGTTATCGATGTTTTTAATAAAATAAGATATAGTAATAATATTATTATTTTTCTTATCAAATTTGTTTTAGATGATGAGGAGAAGGTTAGTAAATATAGAGATGGACAGGAATGTTGTTGATTATTTTGGTATTACTTTTGATGAGCATGATTTGTTGGTGTCGTTTGGTGCTAACCATGACAAGGCACATTAGATACCCTCTCTCAATGCAGGCTTGTCGAGAGTGAGTATGATTTGCAAAGCAGGGTGTCCTTTCTGAGCGAGATGTATACATTAGGAAGTATATTGCTTAGTGATAGCCCAACCATAACACATAATTTATTTTTTTTCTGCATGATAAAAAATTAGACAAAAATGAATAAAGTTTGAATATTTAGTTTTAATGAATGAATTAAGATTTAGGTTTATAAATGTTGAGTTTACTTGCTCGATAACATTAATGATGAAATTATCGATGGAAATGCCTTTGTTTCAATAAAATCAGCTTTCTAAAAATTCTGAATGGAAACCTATGATTGATGTTTGGTTTGGAAAGTTCAAGGTTAGTATATAAATAAACAATTATTTTTTATTATCAAATTCAATTATTTTTTTAATTTTAATAAACTAATTATTTTATGAAATTAATAAGTGAGGAAAAACTATATTAGGAGGATGCTAACAATAGCATGACCAAAAGAGTGTAGGAGAATCATAAGGCCATTAGGTAAGATTGAATTCAAATTGTTATATTTCTTAAAAAAAATATTAAAATTTTATTTTTAGTTATTTTATTCAATTTTTTTAACCACTTTGCATGATTTTTTTATATAATGTCCTAAAAAAAGAGCAAAGAAATAAGCAAAAGATAAAGTTGTTCCAAGCTGGGGAAATGTGACCATGTAGAGAGATTTCAAATCTCTGTAAGTCACCAAGGGTATTTAGGACATTTATCTACAACACGTGATGTCATAGTGTTTCTTGAGGCGATCATAGTATGGTTTGAAGATTCGAACAGAGGAGATTCATGATTCCATGATCACACACACACCAGCTGATCCATTTTATTTGTTTCACATGCAAAACAAATAATAATATTCTTTTTTATACAATACTAGTTTTTTAAATAGTTGTAGTATATGAAAATATATAATTAGCACTAAAAGATTCATGATTCCATGATCACACATACACTAGCTGATCCATTTTATTTGTTTTATATGCAAAACAGATGATAATATTCTCTTTTATACAATATTAGTTTTTAAAATAGTTATAGTATATGAAAATATATAATTAGCACTAACTTTTTTTTACAGGCTATGATACCTGGGTACAATCAAAGACTAATAGAGATTTTTGTTGAAACCCACGTACACAAAAAGAAAACAAATAAAAAGGGGTGCAACAACTGATTAATAGCCAAGTTAAAAAGTTGATTCTCAGTAGGATTTGAATTTTTTTTTAGTTATTATTTCAAGCTTGTAGATATCTTAATAATTCAATATTTTGAAAGTAATTTCTTGAACTTTTAGAAACTAGCTTTCATGAATCTCATAAGAAGCCAATCAAGAAGAATAGAAACGAAACATCAAGCCATCAAATGCAATCAATAAATAATAGAAAATCTTTCCTGTTTTCATCACACAATTTTTTTTTAAAAGATATTCACCTTCAGATTTGCCTTTATAGTAACATAGTTTTAGCAAAATTCTTTGCTCCTATTTCTCCTATCTCACCACCCTTGTTTTTGTAATCTTTTAATTACGCTCCCCCTTTTCAATCCCTATTTTCTTTGTTTCATCTCTTTTCTTTGTATCTTGTTAATAAATTTACAAATGATGGCCAATGCGTGAGTGTATGCAAGCTCATGAGCTACTTGTTTGCTTCTCTATGGAAGTTTCCAAAAAGGATGCTTAATTTCATTGAGTTCTTAATTTTAATTAATATTTAAATTGATCTAATTATATATAATTAAAGAGATAACAAATTTCAATATATATTTCTGATCTAATTATATATAATTAAAGAGATAAAAAATTTTAATTTATATTTTTTATGCTAAAATATTTTACTTTCTCAACATTTTAGTATTTTCTCCGTGTTAAAGTATTTCAAATTAAAGTTTTTTTAATTTTAATTTTTAATTATTTAGAAATATTTTAAATTTTAAAATTATATTTAAATACATGTTATACTTGTATGGTATAATTTAAAGCTAATTTATCTTTAGATTTAAATTGAAATTATATACATTGAATATGAATATATATATATATATAGACTAAAAAAAATGCCAAAATATTTTGAAACTAAAATTTATTATTTTAATTAAGAAAAAAAACCAGTCATAATAGAATTGACAGCAAATCCAAATTATTTAAGAAGAAGATACGGTACTTACTAGCATTTGAATTACCTGACTGATGCTTTAATTTCAGGTACACTCAAATGATTTTTATTCCCTTGGACAAAAGGGGCATTATATCCCTTTACACCTCATAAAACTTGAATTAGCATCTCTACCAGAGAAAGAGTGAAGAATCCAAATTCTCAATAGTTCCTAGTGATGAATGTACATTTATTCTCACGGAGGAGGAAGCTCGCCAAGAGCCACTCCGAATCGCCAAGCAACTCGTACGAAAGGCACTGTCCAAAACACCATTATTATTCATCAGTGGCATTTCCTGCGGATTGGACCCATCTTTCAAAACATGTCTCGTAAATTTGGATCAACCCTTCTTTTTAGTATCTTGTATTTTCATCCTCGAATGTAAATTGGTGCCATTCCACTAAAGGAACTATTCTCTTAGTCTAAAATGGCAAGTTTTCATACAATGATATATGCTGCGTTATTAAAGTTTGAGAGTACAAACAACCATATATAGCCAAGTCAATTCTAACACCCATGATTATAGACTATATATGCTTACATTCTTATTATTATTATTATTATTATTATTATTATTATTTCTTCTTCTTCTTTTCAACTGCGCATTCCAAATCCTATAAAGGATGGGGATGGAAATTCGGACATTATAAGAGGCCTATCCTAGTGTAAAGCTCATTAGAAATTGAGGTTTTATTATTATTATTATTATTATGAACATTAAAGAATTCAGCCCTGTATTAAAAGTTTATTATATATTTTGATAACGGTTACTTAAAAAAAATATATTAAAACAATATTTTTTTATTTTTAAAATTTATATTTTATATTAATATATTAAAATGGTATAAAAACATCAAAAATTAATTAAAAATAAAAAATTACCTTAAAAAACACCACTATGTAGAAGTTTTATTATTGATCTAGGGCCCATGTAAGCGCAAATTAAATCCCGACTTCTCTCTTCCTCGTTTTCTCATACCAAAATAACTTTCAATTCAAACTAATGAATCAAATATTACCTCCAAAATTAAGTAATTGAAAAGGCAACAGCAGGTAGGCCTAGAATCCCATTGAACTTGTGTTTTCTTGCATAGTAAACATCTATTTGTTTATTACGGGATAAAAAGAAAAAACAAAAACCTTGTATGCTATTCTTATCATTTTATTAACAAACAAAATAGATTTAGAAGGTAGCTATTCAAATTTACTTATCGAGCACCATCCTCGCCTAAAAATTGAGAAAAAAAGAATGAAAGATTCAACAAATTGATAGTGATATTAATAAAGGAAGAAAACTCCAGCAATTCCACTGAATTAAATACTATATCCTGTATTATTAGTCGTCTTTACTTTATTAGTTGATGGGGGTAATAATTTTCCTCACTAGCTAGCTAAACCTATGTGGATCAACAATTAGTTTTTCTAGATGCGATTTAAGACTCAAGTCAAGTATTATACAATCGGTACTAAATTAAGGAAGATATATTCACTCATAGTATTTTATAAATTGAGTCACTAATTCTGACTACCTAGCTAGATGCACCGACTGCTGAGTCATTGAGTTCATGTGTATGGTAGCAATATAATCATTATTCAAATGAAAATGACGGTAATGATTGTATTGATGATAATATGGATTAATAATTGCAGATATCATTTAAAAAAAATACAGGGAGAGCAAAATAGTGTCAGTGAAGGAAAGAAATAAGAATTTATACTAATTAAAAAAGCATATAACTTCTCAGGTGGCCAGAATCAACCTAATTCTTTATTTTTTTAAATAAAAATTATAATAATATTATTTTTGTAAGAAATATATTTCATTGATCTTGGGTTAGAGGGTCAATAAATTCACCAGAATCAACCAATCGAGTTATATGGTGAAATCTTATAACTAAATTAAAAAAAAAAAAAGGAACAAAAGCATCTTCGTAGGGTCCATTTCATGTCCACTCATTTATGACCCAAAGATGTGATTTCATCTCTTCATACTGCACGATCACACTATTCTTCTATCACCGCTTTTCTTTCTTTCTTTCTCCATCACCCACCCTTTTTTTTTTTCCTTTTTTTTCATTTCTTGTCATAATAGTCTGGAGTTCTTCTGCAGAAAAAAAAACTACTCATGTCAGGTAATCAAAGGCCTAAAGATTCTGCTGAGGGCTCTTCGCGATCTGGAAGTGACCACTACCAGCCTCAACCGGCTCCTTTGAGCAGGTATGAGTCGCAGAAACGGCGAGACTGGAACACTTTTGGGCAGTACTTGAAGAATCAGAGACCCCCAGTTTCACTGTCTCAGAGTAATTGCAACCACGTGCTTGATTTCCTTCGGTATCTCGATCAGTTTGGCAAGACTAAGGTTCACCTACATGGCTGTGTCTTTTTTGGACAACCTAATCCTCCTGCTCCTTGTACCTGCCCTCTAAGGCAAGCTTGGGGAAGCCTTGATGCCCTAATCGGACGGCTTCGTGCAGCTTATGAGGAGCATGGAGGATCTGCAGAGACCAACCCTTTTGGAAATGGAGCTATTCGGGTTTATTTGCGTGAAGTGAAAGAGTGTCAAGCTAAGGCAAGGGGGATTCCATACAAGAAGAAAACGAAGAAGAAGACTCAAATAAGGGCAAGAAATGAAGCGAATCCTCCTATGCAGTCAGCTTAAGTCCTTTGGCTTCTCCAGATAAATGGTAATTTCGCTCTTGATCATAACATTTAAATACATAGTAATTAATGTGTGCTGTTTCGGAAATCTTCTATTAAGAGTGGACAAATATAAATGTATCTTCGATCAACCACATGGCTAGAAAAAATCTAGTTCGACATAATCAATTCTTGAAAATGGAATACGTGTTAAAATAGTTGAATTATAACAAGTTAGACGTATATTGGGTGTTAGTAGAAAGAAACGATGATTGATTGGACTTTCAATACATTCAAAGACTAGATGATATACAATAACTAGTCTGTGTTGGGGTTTTCGTTCTCTGTCATAAACCCTAAACCCACATTCCAAAACCCTAATCTGGCTATCACTTCCAAGGCTGTACAAGATGAAACAACTCTGGTGAAATGAAGATTTTACCTCAACATATTTTACCCTTATTTATTTATTATTCATATATATATATATATATATTTCTGATACTATGATTGGAAAGGAAGAACAGTATTTTTGTTCCCTCTCTCTCAAATCATGCAATGAAAACACTGTTCATGTGCAGTTTCTGAATTAATTAAATTTCACAACTTGTTTACTTTTCCCTCGTTTTGCCTCGTTTGTGATTCTGCGTGATTTTTTGCTCCCCATGAATGACCATCATGTGATATGTCCTAGGTTGCATGTGATTTTTATACACATTGACGTTGAATTAACATGCACAATTATATCTCATAATATTTAAATAATATTATCTTCCCACGTATTATTTATTAATCTTCTTGTTGTAGAACCAAAATCTTGTGTGTGTATACAATATATGGATGTGCTTCCATTGTTATACAGCCGTTTGTGATAAATGAAGAAAAATTCATATTATTTTTCTTATGAGTTACTACCTATTATTTTTTCTTTTTATGAATAAAAAAGAAAGCCAGAGCTAAGCAAGGATGACGCACAAATATCGAGAAAGAGTCAGTAAATATTATGTCTGTCCCAGGTAGTGTTATGCATTACTGTCTTCATCAATAGGTTTTCCTGGTGGTTGTGCGAAAATCATGATTTCTTCTAAAGATCACTTTCATTTGAGAAAATAAAGCATCTTTTCATTTAAGCAGGCAACCTGGAATTTTATTAGTCCTTGAAATAACTCTCGAGCTCATCTGTTGAACCACGAGAGAGGATCTTCCTAATAGACACTCTATTCTTTACCCTATACACTCTCAGTACTTAGCATAGTAGCTAGGTCTTTTAATCCAAGTAAAGTCTCTCCGCCATCAGCAGTTTCATAAGCAACACCTGACTCAAGAATTGAAGTTTTGTGAATAGGGATCTGCTCACCATTAGTTAGACCAGTGGCTATTCAACAGAGGGATGACTTTAGTTTTCCGGACATGTTTAGCTGCCGCTAGTTTAATGGAAAAAGAGAGATGTGGCTGAGACTCGGAATTGGTAGGCATTCGAGTAAGTAGAAGAAGCGGTAGGCGTAGTTGTGGCAAGGGCGCAAAATGTGCTGGCCATTAAGCTCTCTAATACCAGCTTCAGCTTTTAGAAATAATAGGGTTTTATGCTAGGAGAGGTTAACATTTTCTATTAGAGTTCTGATAAATCAAAAGAATATGGTCCAGATAAATCAAAAGAACTTGGCTAACGAAAATATACCCTACCATAATGTTTTTTTTTTTAAAAAAAAACTTTATATCCAATCAGTCTGTTTTATGTGCAGGTAGATTTTATTTTTCCACATGAATATAATGTCTCAAGGTAAATGAAACCAAGAATACTGTGTACTCTTCAAATATCTACCTTTCAGTAACAAATAAACTCCAATCTTGCGAACTGTTTGCAAATGAACATCTTCTTAAAGTCGAAATCAATTTCATTTCTAGGAGTTCATCATAGAAAGGAGATGGATGTTCTTCATTGAATTAATCTTATAAATGAAATATTTTAGCCTTAAATCAACAATTAGTTTTCCTCTTTCTTCTTTAGAAAACAATTTTCATGTAATTATTGTTGTTTTCATAAGAAAATAATTATTGAAGTTAGTGGGAAACAAATTTCGTAATTTAGAGGCAGCTTATGGTTTAAGGATTCAAGGTAAGAATATGTCAAATAACATTCAAAATTAGCTTGTAAGAGATTTCTTGAAGAAAAATAATTTACAAACACAATTTTTGTACTGTAATTTTCATACAAAATAATATGATAAGTAAATTAATAATTATTTTAATTTAAAAATTTAAATAATAGTCGGTAAAATTAAAACTTACAATTGTTTGGTTATCCAAATTTTGAGTTACTAAATGATATTTTAAAAGTAGTTTTATAGTAATGTATAAAGTTTAAGTTATTGGTTTCTAATTAAAAAATAATAATTGCAAACATGTTTGTGGGAGAAATTTTCTCTGATTTTTTTTATTTGTTTAATATATTTGTTTCTTTAATTCATTTCCCATGGGCATTTGCTTCCATGTACCAGCTAGTGCCTAGCTCCCATACTAAAAGTCTACATATATAAAGTTTTCTTTTTCTTTTTCCATGCAATTGAAAAAAGAAAGTTTGCTGTATGGATAACATTGATAATGTATCGTTGATTGTATTAGAGAGTTATACAAACCCTCTAACTTAGGTACTTAATATTTTTTATGTCTTCCCTTCTAGTTAAAATCTAATAGCAAAAACTAGTGTGTGTCTCCTCAAATTGCAAGCTTAAAAAGTTTTCAAGTTAAATGATTCTCTGAAACATTGAGTGCTCAAAACTAGAAATTAAGAAGCTAAAGTGTAGTGAAATTTCCTTTATGCAGTGAATAATAACAGAGTACCATTTTCCAGCAAGTAAGCCAAAAAATAAAAATAAAAATAAAAAATACTTAAAATTAGACGTCAATAATTATGCTGAACACAAGGCAGAAGTAAATCCTTTCAATGTAAATAATTGTGAATAATTTCGAAGAGTGTCGTAGTAAATTGGCACCTTAAAGAACCATTTAGATATAGTGAGTGAATAAAACGTGTCGACTAAAAAAGTATGTAATTCAAAATCATTTAATTCAATGTAATAATTTTTTAGAAAAAATAAAAGTAATGAAAAATCATTTTCAATTTCGTTATTCCATTTAAAAAATTTCTAAAATTATTTTCAATTTTATTGTTTTTCTTGATGGATATCATTGTAGTAGCTATATTATTGTGAGTGTATGTACAAGCTAATTATGGTGGCATTGTGATTCTATGTGAACATTCAAATATTTTATAATCAATGGTTTCTTCATGTATGAAACTTTCTTCTTCTTCTTTTTATTTGAATATTTTTATTTTTACAATTTGTATAGGCAAACTTTCAAATATTTTATAGTCAGTACTTCCAGTATTATATGTTAGTTTGCGAATTTTCAATTTATTTCTAATTATGTGTTTTTACTTTTATTTTGTGATTTGAATGTACTTTTCTTTTACTTTTTTCATCCTATATGAAATTCTTCAGCAACTTATTAATTGATTAGAGCTTATATATATAAACCATTAGTTAATTGGTAATGTTTTCTACAATGTCCACTCGCAGTCCTTCTTGTGCCATGCTTGATAAAGTAAAAAATATTTATAGAATATATATAAATATTAAAACAACAAATATCAAATTCATTCAAATTAAAAGCTTTTTAAAAAAAAAAATTAAAGGCAAATTGTTCTCTAAAAAGAGAGAAGTTAGATTCATTCAATTTCCTCCACTTTTCCATAGACCTAAAAACCACCACCTCTAATAAAAAAAAGAAGAAATTTATTAGTTTGTAAGACATTAGAAATTTTAAATATAAATTCATTATACAACAAAGATGACATTTTGTAAACAGTTATAAATTCTCGTTACAATCTTTGATCTTATTGACTAAAAACAAAATATACGAATATATACCAAGTTTAAGAAACAAATCATCACTATTTAATTGTTTTTCCTTCAACTCCATCATCAATACTCCCTGTTTATACAACAAAGGAAAATCATGACAGTTAGATTCAACAAAACCTTAATTATAATCAAACTAAAAAAAAACAATTATATGATGGTTTGGTTTAATTTCCTATTTGAATCAAAATCAGAATTGTTTTTTTTTTACTTTTTCTTAATTTACTTGGTTAAGACAATCACATCAACTGAAAAACAAACATATTATCATCTAATCACTTCTAAGAAAACATGATTAAAGATTCTGAAAAATAGAAATATTCAAATAGAAAAAATAAAAACATAAATAAAATACAAATCCTTTAATTAAAATAAATTAAAAATTGAATATATCCTTGAAGAGTATGCAACATGTTACATGTAAACTTAACAACCATCATTCTCTGGATGAAACTAGATATTCACCCGTGTTATATTATGGGTTTGTATTTTTTGTGTAAAAATAACATCTAGGTCATGCAAGCATGTTTACAAGAAATAAAAAAAATAAATGACTTGAATTATAATCCCAATTATGTTTAATAAGTTGGTTTTATTTTAATGAGATAATAAAAAAAACTAGCAATGATAGTAAACAAATAATTTTTTAAAAAACAATAACAATAACTTGAAGAAAAAAAACCTCAAGAAGTATGTAACTAGATAGGGAGAGAGAGAGAGAGAGAGAGAGAGAAATTGGTTTAAGCCAACTCAAGATAATGTGATAAATATATAACTTAGATAATAAGGAGCTAGTCAACCTGTAAAAATCATGATATAGGTTATACGATCAAGATAATCCTATAAAAACTTGAAAAAAATCACAAAACTCATTTAAAATTAAATAATATAGAAAAATGAAATAAAAAAACCTAAAAAAATAATATCGATGTGCATTAACTTTTCAAACGCATAACTCAAGTCATCACACTAGAATCATCATAAATGAAAAAATCATTAAGCCGAATCTCTGACAAATCAAATGCTGAAGGATAATATAAAAAACATTAATTACACAGAATGATCTAAATTAAAAAGCAACAATTAAAATATTAAGAGTAAAAATGAAAATAAAAAACAAATTGGAGGGCAAGAAAAATATTTTAATTAGAGGGTTAAATTGATAAGAAAATTAACTTTAACAAAAGGA